TGATTGCATGTACGGCGCATATTAAATCAAACTAAAAAGGATCAAACGAAATTGCCTAAGGCACATTGAAGCCATCAAGGACTATTAGAGGCACAATGAATGATTTATCAATGAATATTTTTTGAAGGAATATATTAATGCGTGGATATATATACCTTGGAAAAAATTATTTAAAAAATCCACGCCTTAAGTATACCTTGGGAAAAAATTATTTAAACAATCCACGACTTAAGTATACCTTGGAAAAAAAATTATTTAAAAAATCCACGCCTTATGTATACCTTGGAAAAAATTATTTAAAAAATCCACGCCTTAAGTATACCTTGGAAAAAATTATTTAAAAAATCCACGCCTTAAGTATACCTTGGAAAAAATTATTTAAAAAATCCACGCCTTAAGTATACCTTGGAAAAAATTATTTAAAAAATCCACGCCTTATGTGGACCTTGGAAAAAAATTATTTAAAAAATCTACGCCTTATGTGGACCTTGGAAAACAATTATTTAAAAAATCCACGCCTTAACTATACCTTGGAAAAAATTATTTAAAAAATCCACGCCTTAAGTATACCTTGGAAAAAATTATTTAAAAAATCCACGCCTTAAGTATACCTTGAAAAAAATTATTTAAAAAATCCACGCCTTAAGTATACCTTGGAAAAAAATTATTTAAAAAATCTACGCCTTATGTGGACCTTGGAAAAAATTATTTAAAAAATCCACGCCTTAAGTATACCTTGGAAAAAATTATTTAAAAAATCCACGCCTTAAGTATACCTTGGAAAAAATTATTTAAAAAATCCACGCCTTAAGTATACCTTGGAAAAAATTATTTAAAAAATCCACGCCTTAAGTATACCTTGGAAAAAATTATTTAAAAAATCCACGCCTTAAGTATACCTTGGAAAAAATTATTTAAAAAATCCACGCCTTAAGTATACCTTGGAAAAAATTATTTAAAAAATCCACGCCTTAGGTATACCGTGGAAAAAAATTATTTAAAAAATCTACGCCTTTTGTAGGCCCTGAAAAAACTTATTTAAAAAATCCCCACCCCTACTCCCCTTGAAAACATTTTTATGTTTTAAGTGTTTGTCGGTATATTTCCGCTACATTACTTGAACTTCGAATTGAACCTTGTTCACCTAGTTGTTTTTGGTAACAATTTATGTTTATATTTCTGTAAAGTATATTTTCGCCCCGGAGTCAATATCCAGACACATTTATAACTTGGTTTTATGTATTTGTTTTCACATTCATATTATAATCCAAATGGAGTTTGCATCAATCCCGGTGAAGCTGGCTGGCGGCAGTATTGAAGCTTCGCTGTTGGATGGGGCAGGGTGTGCGAAAGCAAAGTGGTTGTTAGGATTTTGAATTTGAATAAATGCTGCTTATGGAGGGATAAAATATTGTATTCATATCTACTCCACTGAGAACGCTACCACTGTTTCAAAACCTTTCCTCCTTTTGTGCCCCTCCCCTCTGTTAGCCATCGTAACATCAAAGCACCTGGAAGCGAAGCTAACACAAGGTGTAGCTTGTAATATGTCAACTTCGTCATCATTAACATTGATTGTGTGTCATGTAAAACACACTGACTGACTGAGTGAGTGACTGAATGCACGACAGCCACTTGCTTGACTGCTTGCCACTTGTATGTTCGCCGCTCTCCTGTTTTATGTTGCAGTTCACTTAAAACGCAATTTAGATTTTGTTACTCCTTTTAATGTTTCGGCTTTGACGCCGTCCCTACTTATTTTTTTTTTGTTACCTTTGATATTCCATTTATGTTACGCAGTGTAAGTGTGTGTGTAAATGTTTTTCTTAGAAGGAAAAATATATTTTTTTAGTAACGTCCCTTATATGTTTATTCTGTCACAATTGTTCATGCAACTGCAATCCGCAACACATGTCTGGCCATATTGCGTGTGAGTAATGAAATATTTTAATTGCATATTACCCATACGCACTCAAGGGCTTGAAGTAGATTTAAAACCAGTGAGCGGGGCAGTATAGTCGGACGGGGCCGACCATATGATACCCTACACAACTTCCACGAAACTATAACTTTCTGTGGTTCTATATTCTGAGCTTGGACACTATTTCGCGATGTTTGCACCCTCTTGACCGACTAGAGGCCAACAAATATTACAAATATTCAGTAAATCCCTTCTAATCACTTGTCCAGATTCCCTTCACCGTGGGTTGTGTTGTGATGTTCGGCTTTCAATTTTGGCCTATAGATCTACTCGTAAAAAAACACCAAAAAAATAAGTGTTCGGTCCACTTCATCCCAAAATTATAATCTGATCATCACCGAAAATTAAAGGCGTTATCGGTGACCATACCCATGAAAAATTTCAAAGCGATCAGCCCTATATATCCGCCCTCTAGTGTGGTAATGGGTTACTAAATAATATATGAATACGTAAGCATCTGTAAATATTTATGTGTAGGTTCCGCATCCGAGTACATACGACAATATAATTGGTATCAATTTAAAGGTCAACCACTCCTCTTGAACATACTATCAACTTCACGGGTCTAAGACCTTCAGGTGCAAATATATACCCCAGTCAGGGTCCATTTGAACCGCTAAATTTTCACCGATCTTCAACAAAACAGGCATGTTTATTCTTTGGCCCGATTCCCTTCTCCATGTAAAATTTCACGATGTTCGGGCCATAATTGCGGCCTTAGAGCGACCAAAAAACCGACAAAAATTAAGTATTTGGTTTATTTCATCCCCTAAATATTAACCGATCTTTAAGAAATACAATAGGGGTCTTCATTGGCCAAAACCCATCCTACATGCAAAATTTATTGAAGATTGGTCCATAACTGTGGCCTGTATCGTGTTTACAAATTATAATGGACAGACGGACGGACGGACACACATGTCTAGATCGACTCAGCTAGTCGAGATATGTCAATCGGTATACTTAAAGGTGGGTCTAGGACCAATATTTCGCGGCGTTACAAACTCTTGGGGCTGCACAAAGCTATAATACCCTGACAACATAGTTGTGTAGGGTATAATAAGCAGACCAAAGATGTATTTTATGAGCGCCTAGAAACAGTATATGATCGCTGACCTGGCCATGATATTGAAATTCTGCTAGGAGATTTTAATGCAAAAATCGGAAGAGAAAATACCCTTGGTCACACCGTCGGAAAATTCAGCCTTCATGAAGAAACATCCGACAACGGCATGACGTTGATTGACTTCGCGGCAGCAAAAAACATGGTAGTAAGCAGCAGCAGATTCAAGCATCTCGATATACACCAGGCCACCTGGATTTCTCCCGATCAAGCAACGAGAAATCAAATTGATCATGTTGTGATACACGGAAGGCATTCATCCAGTGTTTATGACGTTCGATTCGAGGAGGGAATATCGATTCCGACCATTACCTTGTGGCAGCCAACGTTCGCACTCGTATTAATGTAGCAGCAAAGGTGCGATCTAACACAACACGGAAACACGACGTCGAAATTTTGCAAACACAACAGGTAGACGAGGCCTACTCCGCTCAACTTGTCCACCTGCTTGACGAAAACAATGCTTGTCCCGATAATAGTATAGCAGCACAATGGCACAGAATTGCCCACTCCCTACAAACTGCAGTCAAAGCAACACTTGGGTACCAAAAAACCACCAGTAGTGTCGTAATGCTACTGATCTGGAAAACGCAGAGTATAGGGCAACCCTGCAGACATTTGCAACACGTAATGTGATGGAGAATTATCGGGAGAAAAGGAGAGAGCTGAAACGTGTTTTCAGAAAAAAGAAGAAAGAACAAGAAAAACGTGAGCGTGAGCAAATCGAGATATACAGGAGTCAGAATGAAGTCCGGAAATTTTACCAACAAGTAAAACACCAAACCTAAGGTTTTGGTGCAGGCACATCCTTCTGTAGAGATGAAGAAGGCAACCTGGTGACAGAGACAGACAGTGTGTTGGGGATCTGGAAGGATAATTTTGAAAAGCTTCTGGTATCATATGGTGGCGGTGAAGAATATACCCCAGAACCAATAAGAGATGATTGTAAAGAGTGTATACCACCTAGTCAAGATGAGGTCAGAATAGCAATTAATCGGCTGAAGAATAATAAAGCCGCAGGTGCCAATGGGTTACAAGGTGAACTATTCAAGACTGGTGGTCAGATGCTGGTGAGGAGCATGCACCAGCTGATTAGTACAATTTGACTAGAGGAATGCATGTCCATTGATTTCAACCTCAGTATCCTGTGTCCCGCGCACAAAAAAGGAGACAATATGATATGTGCCAACTATAGAGAAATTAGACTTCTTCCTATCGCATATAAAGTGCTATCGAGTGTGCTGTGTGAACGATTGAAGCCAATGATCAATGACTTTATCGGATCATACCAATGCGGCTTCAGACCTGGCAAATCCACCATTGACCAGATTTTCACTCTGCGCCAAATCCTGGAAAAGACTTACGAAAAACACATCGACACATTGCACCTATTCGTAGACTATAAAGCCGCATTCGACAGCCCTATCCGTTCAGAGGTGTATAAATCCGTGTCTACGTTCGGCATTCCTGCAAAATTAGTACGGCTATGCAGGATAACTTTAAGTGGCACAAGGTCAGCAGTTAAAGTCGGAAAGGACCTATCGGAGCCTTTCAATACCGAACGAGGATTCAGACAAGGTGACAGTTTGTTGTGTGATCTTTTTAACATCCTGCTGGAAAAGGTCATACGAGACGCTGATGTGAACAGAGATGGCACTCTGTACACCAAGCAACACATGTAGCGTACACCAAGCGTAGGCGAGTACGCCGATGACATCGATAGAATGGGCCGAACATTGCGAGCGATAAAAGCCACCTTTGAACAAATTGAGAAGGAGTCTACCAAAGTGTGTCTGGGAGTAAACGGCGAGAAGACAAAGCTTACGTCCAGTAGACTAGGAACAACTGTGGAACTTAAGAACTACAGCTTCGAGGTAGTTAAAGACTTTATATACCTTGCTTGGGCAGAACATATACTAAAATTGGAACGATACAGAGAAGATTAGCATGGCCCCTGCGCAAGGATGACACGACTATGATGACATTAGAGATTTAGCAAGTATGGGTATATCGAATGGAGGGGCGGGGTGGGATTTCAGTAGGGCGATTGAAGACGATCGGACCTTTAGTTGTTTAAGTAGTTTTGCTCGTAAAGCATTTAGGAGAAAGACAGTACTTAGCGGAGGTGGTTCTCGTGCATAGCCCCCTTGCAGTTGGGTTTGTTCGGTTGCACCGGGTGGTGGTGGGTTGGTGCGGTTTGGTGCGGTTGTTGGTGGAGAGCTGTGGCTGTTGTGCTCTGCTGTTGTTTCTGCATCGTGGGAGGTTCGCGGTGTTTCTACTTCGCGGAAGTCACTTCTGCGGTTGTGGATGTCGTGAAGGCTGCCCGTGAGGGCAGTTTCGTTCATTGTTTGTCTTGTGATGTCCGTTGCCGCGGTCCTTGGACCCTTTGTGCAGTCCGTGAGGACAGCATGTTAATTGTTTGTGTTGTGTGCATTTGTTCATCGTCGCCACTGCTTGTGGCATGGTCTTCCTTGTCACCTGCGGTTATTTGCTGCCGTTGTTATTTTTGTTATGGGATACCAGCCCGGACTTGTGTCGAACTGGGAGAGGCTTCGGTCTCGAGCCTGAGCGGAGGTTTTCCGTACCGCGGGTGTCAGGTGCCCCTGGATCTGTTGATCCTGCCTGACAGTTGGTGTGGCCCCTGGGGAGCTTCGCGGGGGTTGTGGTTTCGCCCCTCACCAAGGGGAGTGTATGCCTTCTGCATGCTCTCCGATTGGTACAGCACTTTGGTGCTGGTGGGCGCATATCCGCCTGTGGCTCAGCCACTGCGAGGTAGGCCTATGGGCAGGTACTCGCATAAAACACTTTCAGATACCTTGGTACCGCCATAAATAAAACGAATGACATCCAGCTTGAAATTCGGAGAAGGATTGGGATGGCCAACAGATGCTACTATGGTCTAAGTAAGCAGTTTAGGAACAAGGCCACCTCCCGCCAGACCAAACTCGCACTGTACAATACGCTGATACTACCCGTGCTGTTATATGCATCTGAAGCATGGGTACTTGCGCAAGCAGATGTGGCAGCTCTTGGGGTGTTTGAAAGAAAAATTCTGCGTCGACGGTGAATATCGGCGTCATATGAACCACGAGCTTTACAATTTATATGCGGACTTGGACATAGTCAGTCGTATTGAGCTGCAGCGACTACGATGGCTAGGCCATGTTGTGCGAATGAATGAGAATTCCCCAGCTCAAACGGCATATAAAAGCGAGTGAGAGATGGAAAGACCAAGTAGAAAACAATATCGTGGAACGTGGTCTTTCAAATTGGAAAGGATGCGCACAAGACCGACGCGCTTCGAACTCTTTTTTAAGCTCGGCTTATGGAACAACCGTTCTGTAAGAAGGCAGCTAAGTAAGTAAGTACATCACATATTTTACAAGGTGAAGGGGATCTCACCAAATACTTAGAGCGGCTGTTGAGATGATGATCGGTCAAAACCTAAAGTTACCAATTTTCTATTTTATGGCGTAAAAATTCACATAGAGAAAAAAAATTGGAAAATATGCCAGGGTTAGAATTTGGAGTTGTTGATCTATAATCGGTAAAAAGGGTACACATACTACGAAATATTGCCCAGGCTCAGAATATAGAACCGCAGAAGGTTTGCTTTTCGTAGTAGTTGTGTAGGGGATCATATGGTCGGCCCCGTCCGACTATACTGCTCCGCTCAATTTTTTAAAATTAATTTTTGAAGGCACTACAGAAAGCGTGGATTTTTTTTCTAAATGTGTAGAAGCTTGAAAAAATATCTTTAAAAATCCACTTAAAAAATATTTAAAAAAAAAATTGTCCATGGCAGCGGCGGCAACAGCATCCGTTTTATGTGTTACCACAAAATTTATGCGAAATTACATTACAACAATAACAACAAAATGCATTGATGAAATTACCATTCAAGATGTCGTGGACATGAGGACTTTTATGACATACAGCACAACAACAACAACAAGGATGCTGGAAATATGAAAAAGTGTTGCTACATTTCTAAGAGGACCGCATGATGTGAAAGCGCTAATTTTTTGATGTTCTGCATTTGTTATCCTTTTGCAGGAAATACTTCCCATACCTCCCTCGTTTTTTAAAAACCCTATACAATTTTATTTACCGCTATATCTTCTTGTTCTTCTAATGGTTCGCCTTTCATGTATGATGCCCTGTCAGAGCATAAAAGTCAAACTCGTACATAAAACCCCTGTCCCTCTCACACACAGACACATCGAAACAAATAAATGACAGTAATGTGTTTTCTGAAAGTATGTGTGTGTGTGAGTGTGTGCAGAATGGAATACATTGCAAAACGGAAGTAGCACCATTACCATAACAATAAAAAGGACTCGCAGTAGCATTAATGTGTCCATTGAACACACAATAAGCAGGAATATATTCACCACTAGGTGTAATTCAGACATACACATACACACACACACTCACACATACAAACAACCGAACCAGCCACGACTAGACTTGTGGTGCAGGAGGTCATTATAAATACGATAAAAATGTCTGTATGATGATAAGTAAATAAACTAATACTAGCGAACCTTCCATAGAAGGTAGAATGGAGCCTTTGATAGTATTGGTTATGTATGTGTGTGTGTGTGTGTGAGTCCTTTGTTGTTTCCAGTGTATAACTTAATAAAGGACTAATGTAGTTTTTTCTAAGGGAGGCACCTCAACGAACATCTATTGCGAAGGGACTGATGTTTGACGCTTAGTTACTCACATGATTGAATGGTCCTGCCACTTGCAGGACTCTACCTCTACTCTAGCTTGACGCAAAATATTGGACATAAAGGCATCTGTGCATTACAAAAGCTTCAAAGTTAATAGAATTTATAATTTTATGATACGTTCTAAATGACAAAAGGATACGCACAATAATGAAGGAAGGGGTATAGGGGAAAGGGGGGTGGAAACATACTATCACATGTGCCTAACAGAGACTGGAAAGGTCGGAGATATTTTAAGTTATTTTTTCAAGGTGTATATGAGGCGTGGATTTGTATACCCTATACAACTATGTTGTCAGGGTATTATAGCTTTGTGCAGCCCCAAGAGTTTGTAACGCCGCGAAATATTGGCTCTAGACCCACCTATAAGTATACCGATCGTCATATCTCGACTAGCTGATTCGATCTAGACATGTGTGTCCGTTCGTCTGTCCGTCTGTCCATTATAATATGTAAACACGATGCAGGCCACAGTTATGGAGCAATCTTCACGAAATTTTACACGTAGGATGGGTTCTGGCCAATGAAGACCCCTATTGTTTTGGTAAAGATCGGTTAATATTTAGGGGATGAAATGGATCAAAAACTTTATTTTTTGTCTGATTTTCTGGTCGCTCCAGAGGCTTCAATTATGGCGCAAACATCGCCATACATGGAGAAGGGGATCGGTACAAAGTATTAGATCGATAAAGATCGGTTAATATTTAGTGGGTCAAATGGACCCTTACATTTGTGTGAAAAATTACAAAATGTGTTTTCTGTAACGTACATATTTACCCCTCAAGGACATAGACCCGAGATGTGGATAGTACATCCAAGAGGAGTGGCTGATTTTTAAATTGATACAAGTATATGGTCGTATGTACTCGGATGTGGGAGTTACTCTTAAATATTTGCAGGTGCTTACGTATTCATATATTATTTAGGGCGGAAATGTAGCGTTGATCGTATTGAAATTTTCCATGAGGACCAGGTATGGCCAAGAACAACGCCTATAATTTGCGATGGTGATCAGATAGTAATATTGGGATGAAGTGGACCGAAAACTTAATTTTTTGTGTTTTTTTCTAGTCGATCTATAGGCCACAATTGAAAGCCGAACATCACAGCACAACCCACGTTGAAGGGAATCTGGACAAGTAATTCGAAGAGCTGTACTGAAAATTAGTAATATTTGTTGACCTCTATTCGGTCAAGAGTTTGTAATGCCGCGAAATATTAACATAGCTCAGAATGTAGTGGTGCCACAGAACGTTAGATTTTCGTGGAAGTTGTGTAGGGTATCATATGGTCGGCCCCGTCCGACTATACTGCTCCGATCATTGGTTTTTTCTGAGGCCCACATAAGGCGTGGATTTTTTAAATATTTTTTCTGAGGCCCACATAAGGCGTGGATTTTTTAAATATTTTTTTCTGAGGCCCACATAAGGCGTGGATTTTTTAAATATTTTTTTCTGAGGCCCACATAAGGCGTGGATTTTTTAAATATTTTTTTCTGAGGCCCACATAAGGCGTGGATTTTTTAAATATTTTTTTCTGAGGCCCACATAAGGCGTGGATTTTTTAAATATTTTTTTCTGAGGCCCACATAAGGCGTGAATTTTTTAAATAATCTGTTCTGAGGCCCACATAAGGCGTGGATTTTTTAAATAATCTTTTCTGAGGCCCACATAAGGCGTGAATTTTTTAAATAATCTTTTCTGAGGCCCACATAAGGCGTGGATTTTTTAAATAATCTTTTCTGAGGCCCACATAAGGCGTGGATTTTTTAAATAATCTTTTCTGAGGCCCACATAAGGCGCGGATTTTTTAAATAGTCTGTTCTGAGGCCCACATAAGGCGCGGATTTTTTAAATAGTCTGTTCTGAGGCCCACATAAGGCGTGGATTTTTTAAATATTTTTTTCTGAGGCCCACATAAGGCGTGGATTTTTTAAATATTTTTTTCTGAGGCCCACATAAGGCGTGGATTTTTTAAATATTTTTTTCTGAGGCCCACATAAGGCGTGGATTTTTTAAATATTTTTTTCTGAGGCCCACATAAGGCGTGGATTTTTTAAATATTTTTTTCTGAGGCCCACATAAGGCGTGGATTTTTTAAATATTTTTTTTCTGAGGCCCACATAAGGCGTGGATTTTTTAAATATTTTTTTCTGAGGCCCACATAAGGCGTGGATTTTTTAAATATTTTTTTCTGAGGCCCACATAAGGCGTGGATTTTTTAAATATTTTTTTCTGAGGTCCACATAAGTCGTGGATTT